CCGGGGAGAAGGGGCCAAGGCCGCCAGGGCCCGAGGGGCTGTCTAGCTTGCAGAGTTTGGGGGTGTCCCCAGGTCCAGGTGGTCCAGGGGGGTCCTGCCGTAGGCCGGGGGAGTAGGCAGACTTGATGTCCAGGGAGAAGGAGCGTTTCAGGCGGTTGGTGTCCTGGATGCGCTCAGAGGAGAGGTGCAAGCCGTTGAGCCCCTGCTGCAGGGTGGTGGGCGACAGGACCTTTGGGGTCACGCCTTGCCGCTCGGGGTCGCCATGCGGGGATGCCAAGCCAGCGCCTCTCGGCACCTCCTCGGTCTTCTCTGAGGTAGGTGGTGGGGGGTGGCGGCTGCCGTCAGCCATCTCTGCCGTGTCCTGCTGGGCATCCACCTCGCCCCGGTCGCCCTTTGACTTCAGGGCCTTGAGGAGCTTCAGGCTCCTCTCATACTCCAGGAGCTGGCCCAGGAAGTTGAAGTTGGGTGAGATGGACGGGCGACGGTCCTTAACGAACCTGCCGAGAAGCACAGACAGTCCCAGTTGGTGCTTGGTCCTTCAGCAGGCCACCCCTACTTTCTCAGCCTCTTTGGGGAGAAGAGGCATCATCCAGGACCTTCTGACCCTCCAAAGAAAGGAGTCTTGGGAAACCATGGGGCCTCGGGATGCCCCAGGGGTAGAGCTGGGACTGCCTCCCCCCTCCATTTTATGGCTCCCAACCGTTCCTCATTGCATGCACTTTATGAAGGAAGGCTTGGTTTGGTTTGGTTTGGTTTGGTTTGGTTTGGTTTGGTTTGGTTTCACCAGGACTTAGCCAAGGTAAGACAGAGCTTCAAGGGAGCTCCCACCCCCTCCTTCTGGGCTCAGCCTGCTTTCCTTCCCTGGAGTGAAGCATACCAGCGTAACTCCTCCCTGCCCTCCGAGGAAAACTCACCTGTAAGCATCATCTGATGACATACCCATGGTCTTCATGATGTAGGCGATGGCGATGGTGGCCGACCGGGAGATCCCGGCCAAGCAGTGCACAATCACTTGGCAGCTGGACACCTTGGCCTTGTCTGATGTACGGTAGAGGAAACAGAGAGAAAAGCATTGATGCGGTCAGAGATGGTGAGCAAAATGACTCTAGCCTCCCTCCCCAACCTTCAACCCCTTTGTGTCAAAGAACAAGGGTTGCTGGGAGTAAGACCATGGAGGACAGAAGAAGAGTTCCGGTTTTGAAGGCTGAGAACTGGAGGGTCTGCAACTATTCTAACAAAAGCTCACCAATGAATTCAATGGACTTGTCCAGCCAGGGAAGCAGCTTCTCACAGTAGTTGTCGTTGACAGGAATGCGCATGAAGTGACTATCACAGATGAAGTCTGGCTTGGGACAGGAGTTGCTGGCATTGAGGACATAGCTTATCCCGTTCTGCGTCATCAAGTCCTGGTGGGAAAGAAGTGATTGAATGTTTGGCTGAGTTCAGCCAGCACCGAGTGCTGAAGATCTGCCTTGCCATGCACTCCCTGCCTTTTCCCATCCCAGTATATTCTCCTGTGGGTCTCCCACTGCTGCCTTGGCCTAGTTGATGGTAGTACAGCAGGGACCAGCTGAGAAGGTTGTGTCAATTTAGATGACACAGGTTTGAACCTCAGCAGATCTTTACTTTGGTCCAAGTAAAAGTCAGCAAGAGCAAAGACACCTGGAAGGGGGTCCCAGAGGGGAAAACCCAAGAACCCCAGTATGAGAGGAATAGGAAAATACAAGAAAGAAAATCAGTGAAAACTCTGGCTGAAAGCTTTGAAAGTATCAGCTGAGGGAGAGGGAGAGAGGAGGCATCTCACCAATAGAGTGGGGCGAGTCATTGGTAGCACCCTGTGTTAACCAATGTCAACCCATGTCTTTGCTCCCACAACCCTCAGAAACGCATTGGGAGTTCTCACAGACTTGTTAGTTGTTCACAGTTCTTCACTGTGAACATACACTCTTGTGTTGGGACATAGACAGGTGGTGAGGAGAACTATCTCTTCCCTCTTTCTGACACCGGAGTGAACCTGGACTTGTTTTCTGTGACTTTTCTGCTTTGGCCATTCAATGGCCACCATCACTGCCCATATTTCTGACTCAATAAAATGCAATGGCACAAGGGAAACTTTAGGTAAATAGGGTCAGATGAAAAACTGCAATGAGGGAGTGAGGTTTGACCCACGGGCCATCCATCAGGGAACTGGCTTGCTGGGTGCGTACTGCTGCATCCACACCAACCTCCATTCCTTCCCGCCCAGGGCCACAGCCAGCTTCACCTATATGCAGTGCTGACACCAAATTTATGGCTCATCTGACCCCCGTCTCTTTCCCCGTCCCATCAGATTAGGTATCACCTGTACAACTGGGGGCAGGTTGCTTATAAAAAATGGGGGAACATCTGTGCCAGCTGCTGGGTCTCAGTGCCTGGTCTGCACAGAGAAGACCCAGAATTAAATGGGAGGAGAAAACATGGAGATAAAAGAGTGCTTCCACACATCAGAGTGTGTGGGGAGCTGCCATGTGGGATCTCTCCTTTGCAATGTGCTAGAGAAGAGAAGCATCGCCCATGACCCTGCTCTGCTGCCTATGAATAGAGCATCTTCTGGCCACATCGTGGGGATGGCAGAAAACACAGCTCCAAAAGATGAACAAAACCCTCTGAGGAGGCGGGGAGGGAAGGAAACCATCAATTTCCCTGCCTGACATTGGCTCCTCAGGAGACCGCACCAGGATTTCGGCCCTGGCTCTCCGGCGGCCAGTTCCTGCCCGCCCCAGCCCCAGCAGGCTCTGCAGAGCCTGGCCTCAGCTCAGCGGAGCCAGCTCCTGGGCTCACATTCTTGGCATTTTTCTCTTTCATTTCCTTCCATTCCCTGTATATAATTTCTCTCCCCCTCCTTTCTGTCTCCAACCCACCTCCGGTGTCGTGGTCCCTCTCCCCCCTCGCTTGCCCTGGGCAAGGACGCCTGGCTGGCTCCCTCCTGCCCGTGATAGGCAGGCGCCCGGCGGCATTTTAACTGCAATTCCTCTTTCTTTCTTCTCGCAGTTATTTTTCCTTTAAACAAAATTCCTTCCCTGGTATGACATCATAGCACAGCCCTTCCAGCACCTTTAAAAGGGCACTGTCCCTCTTTTCTCCTCTCTCCCCAAAGCAAAACTTTGCTCATGTTTGGTCCTTCTGAACAAGCCCCTGCCCCTGGCCAGAGCTGCCTGTCCCTGTGCTGTCGTGGCTGAATACCCCAGCTTGTTCCCACTCTCTCTGGCTCCCAAGGGGATCGCAGCGTTGCTAAAATTGGTGTTATCTGGCAGCCTGGCTGGCTAGGGAGCTGGGTGCAAAGCTGGCTCCTGTTCCATGTCTCCCTCCAGCTGTGGTAACTCCCCCTCCAAACCCAGGTGTTTTCCCGACTGTGCTCCTCCTGTCCCCGAGTTTGCTACGGGCACTTGGGAAGAGTTTGACCACCCCAAAGCTCATCAATATAAGACGACTCATCCTGCAACCACCCTCCCCAGTTCTGCCAGGCTCTGCCTATGCACTCCCTGCCTTGAGCGTCCTGGTAGGGTCAGACTGACCACGCATGGTCCTCCCACTGGGCAGGAGAAGAGACCTTAATGCCCTCACCCCTCTGCATGGCTGGGGTCCCAGATGGGACAGGGTGGACGTGTCCCCTTGACAGGGTCGTACCTTGTTTAGGACATCTTTCTGGGAGCCCAGGTAGAGATGCGGCAGGATGCGTGTGGGGCCGACGTTGGCCACGGGCAAGCATGGCTGGGAGATGCTCATTGGCAGGATGGCAGCTGGCTTCCCCTCGCAGAGCCCTGGGAAGCAGGACGAGAAGGTGGCAAAGCCTCCTGCGGAGAAAATGGGGACATTGAGCTTGTAGCAGTGAGGCTGAGACCATCAGCACCTGGCACCCTGAGGCCCAGGCTGGGGACAAAGCGGTGATAACCCTGCAACGCTGAGAAGAGAGCCTTGAGGGGGAAAAAGCCACCAGCCATTGCTAACCAGGGCAGACACGTTGTGATGACTGTGCCACACACATGGAGAAAGAAATGGAGACCCAGCTCTGATTTTTCCTGCCGCAGCTGGATATTAACGCATACGTGAGGCATCCTGCACCTCCGCCTGCTCTTCGCAACTTCATTCAAACAAATGACAGGAAGAGAAAGTCCTTTTCTTGGCTGCCCACTACTCTGAGGACAACCAGGGTCACTTTCTGATAGCAAAACCCGCCAGGGCAGGATGATGACAAACAAGCCCACCGAGGTGCAAAGCTCCCCGGGTTGGTGAGGTCAGCCCAAACCTGGCCGCAACAGCTACACTTACGCATTGTGGTTTCTGAGAGATGTCCCCTCTGCTCAGCCCCGCCCAGCCCATGATTTCTGCCACATCGGACTGGACCGCCACATCGGTACCTGCAGAGCTTTTCATGCTCTGACCTTATTGAACGTGACAGCAAGCAGCGCCCAATTTACTGCACCAAGCTGCTGGGCAGTCATACCCAGCTTGAGCATCTCGAAGCCCAATATTGAGAGAAAACCCCCAGCTGGGGCTGCGGTAGGTGGCATCTCACAGCCAGAGCTATCGCCACGGTGTCTGGCACGGTCAAAAGCATGGTCTAAATGTGAATGAGCCTGCCTGAAAGCCAGTCCCCAGCTCAAGCAGCAAGAGCACTGACTTGAGTAGGGCAGCAAGCGTTGCCCTGCCTGCATGGTGGGCAGCTCAGGGAGCTGGAAAACCCCCAGTGCTGTTGCATGTCCTGTGCGATTGCGTAAGGCCACTGGTGATCCTGATTTGCTCTTGCTCACCGATCCTGTTCTCTGTGATAGAGCCGTGTCTGGCAAGTGGTGGCCCAACCTCACTCCCCTCCAGCTGAAGACATCTGGGTGGCAGCTTGGTGCAACAGAGAGGACCTTGAGTCCTATCAGTGCAACCAGTCTCCCTTGAGGTTTCCCCAGTCATGCGAATGAGCAGATGCAGCTTGACATCACCCAAAGGGCAGAGAAGACTTTGGGGCTTGACCGCCTCTGACTGTCAGAGGGACCAGGATGCCCCCATGACATCCTTCTGAAAGTCCAAGTCTCTGGACTCAGCACCACGGGAATCCCTGGCCCATCTCCACAGCTAAACAAGACCTTTTAATGAGCCTTTAGTAATGACTTTTCCATTCAGTCTCTCTCCGCTTTGGAAGCAGGGCAGCTTTGGCACATTCTCAATTTACCTTCTCCAGTACCTTGCCAGCATTTCTGCTGACCCTCCTGGAGCACCTCCCTGGCTGCTGGTGTGGCACCAGGCTCTGGCGGGGTATGACTGGTGCTGCAGACAACCCACCCCACGTGTTTGGGAGATGAAGGTGATGGAGAAGCCAGAGCAGCGCACAAAATCATGCTCACACCACCTGACATCCAAGGTCCTCCATCACCCTCCATCTCAGCAGCTCCTGGTGTCAGCTCCCACTGCCCCAAGAGGAAGGTGTCCTCCAACCAACCTCTTGTGTTTTCCTGGCTGGCAGCTAACACAGCTCCCAGCTTCAAAACCTGGCCAAGCCGGGAGGGGTAGAGTTAAAGCACCTTATCTTCTCTACCACTTCCTTTTCTTGGGCTCCCTCTGAAATGACATCACCTCACAACTGGGACATTAAATCAGAGCGAAAGCAGGAGGCCCACCGCAGGTGCAGTGCAGCTCCAGTTACTGCTCATCCCTGTGCTGCATCCCCATTGCCAAGGAGCGTAAATCACCAGCCAGAGCCTTGCATGGACATGTGCAAACTCCCTGCTTTGCCCTGCGCTTGAGCACACACTGCTCATGCCTGGGGGATGCTCGAGCAGAAACCCCGCGAGAAGGGTTTCCTTCAGCTGCCCCCAGGGAAGCCTGCAGCACATGGGGTTGAGTGGGGCGCAGATTTGACCCCTGGACTCGTCAAAACAACTTGGGAACCCGACACATTCTTGGGGAGCAGTGTGCATGCAAGCGCAGCCCTGATGATTGGTGTGTGCTCTGGTCCCCGTCCCCAGGGCTCACTCGTACCTGTCAAGAGCCACCCAGGGCTGTGTACAGCTTCGTATCACTCTTTAAAAGCCAGGAGCGTGGGGTGATCTCATAGTTAAAGCAGGTCAGGGCATGCCGCTCTCTCCCCCTTGCCTGCCTCTGCCGGCACTTGCCCGGCAGTAGATCCTCTGCCAGCCCTGCCTGGGGAAGTCCAGGCAGGGGCAGAGGGGGGCTGCGAAGCAGGTGGGGATGTTTGCAGAGAGTGGCAGCAGCACACTCAGCTGCGGTGCCTACCCTGGCACACTGCCAGCAACCGGAGGATGCTGGCACCTGAAATGATGCCCACAGCTCACCCCACTTGTCCCAAGCAAAGCCTCAACCCTGTGTCTGGGAGCCTGGGCACGCTCCCATCCCGCCTGTCCTCATTTCCCCCGTGCTTGCAGCTGCTGAGGGCAGCCCGGGCTTGGGGGAAACCCTAGAGATGGGTCTGGGTACCCGACGCCATCCCAACCTTGAAGCGATGCTCACCCCACCCCGCGCTGGCTGCTCTAGCATGCCTTTCATTTTTAGAAAGCAAAGCAGCTTTTCAAAACAATCCCAAAGGCAGTGAATGTCCCTGGCTGGGCTCCAACCGATACCTGGGCTTTCCCCCTTCCATACCCTGGGCCACGGATCCCAGCTTTTGCTGGGAGAGAGCAGCAGAGCCCCATGGGGTGAGGAGCCAGGGCAGCACTGGGTCTTTCTAGTCTTTCCTCTTTTATTCACAGTGCTGGTGCTGGGAGTGCTGTTTCTTTTGGCACGTGGGGAATTAAGCTCAGGAAGGATTTGTGTATGACATGGAGCAGGTGCTTGGGGATCTCTGGTTTCTTCCTGATGCTCCCCTTGAGCCTGGGGAGGGCTTGCTGGGCAGCATCCCTGTGCGGCATGGCCCGGTGCGCTGCTCATGGCTCCAGCGCTCCTGAGGGCTCTGAAAACCATTCCCTGGGAAATGCAGTGTCTTCCTGCCTCCTGCAATTACCTGAGGCAGAGGTGGAGCCCAGGAGGAGAGGGGGGATGTTTGGGCAAAGGGAACCAGGCCAGAAGTG